TTAAATTGATCTGATGACTCTCAAGTTTCTATCAATCAACTCAAGCCTTCTCTCTGAGTTCCCTAGACAACTCCACCTGGATTTTGAATAGATGTCTCAAAAAATTAAATGGCCAAAGTAATTTATTTTTAAAAATATTTTATTAAGATTTTATTTTATTTTAAGATTTTATTTATTTGAGAGAGAGCAAGCACAAGCAGGGGAAGGGGCAGAGGAAGAGGGAGGAGCAGGCTGATGCAGGGCTCGATCCCAGGACCCTGGGATCATGACCTGAGCCAAAGAGACACTCAACTGACTGAGCCACCCAGGCACCCCAGTAATTGATTTTTAACCCAACCTCCCCCTCTCCCTGCTTTCCCTGAGCTTCCTCACCTTTGTAAAGGGCAGTGACATTTACCTAGTTTGCCCAAGGCAAAAACCCTTGGATCATCCTGGATTCCCCCCACCCCCATCCTGCATTCCATGTCCTATCTGTCAGGAAGTCCCATCAGCTGTATGTCCAAGATGCTATCTCTGATGCCAGTACCTGTCACCATTTCCAGTGCTAGGCTCCAGCCCAGTCCCAGCCTTCTTGTTCTGAGATTGCTACGATGACTTTCTCACCAGGCTTCTCCCTTGCAAGGCACTTGTCCTTGCTCCCTACGGCAGCCTCCTGAAGTATAAATCACATTTTGTATCATGTCCCTGATGAAAACCTCCCCATGGCCCTCACTGAAACTGGAAATAAGTCTAAACCACTTACCAAAGCTGCGAGGCCGCTTCCTAGGTCCGATGACACCTCCTCTACTCTCCCAAGGTCCCCTTTGTGAACCCCAGAGCTCTCCCAGCCCCTCCCTCTCTCCTGGTCTCCCACTTGCTGTCTTTTCCATTAGGAAGTGCTTTGTCCAGATCTTTAGCACATATCAGTGCCTGGAATTTCCCTTTCATGTGTTTGTTGTCATATGTGTTATATGTCCCCACAACTCCCTCCCCAATAGAAGATGACAGAGATGTTTGCTGGCGGATGTAGGCCAGAGCCTGGGGCAGGGCCTGAGTCACAGGAGCAGCTCAGTGTACATTTGCTCACCAGGTTGACCATGAGGACTATAGCTAAGGTTGTTAGAGCTAGAAGAGAAAGCCTCCAACCTTGTGGTTTCCCAGATAGGGAAACAGAGGCACAGACAGTCGTTTGCCTGGCAGCATGAGTGCCAACTTATGCAAGCCAAGTTGGTCCTGCACATTCTTAGGTTCTTTTTCATAAGCACCAGTAGCCATTAAAAGTGATGGTTAGTTATTTCCTCCTACAGTCTGCTGCTAGGTTATCATGAAAACAGATCTCAGAACAAATCGTGACATCGATAAAAATATCTATAAAACAAATATTTATTGGCAAGAAGCCACAAAACTGGTTCCTACAATCTGTTCTATAAACTCAGTGAAGGCCTAGCTCTCTGTGCTTTTAGGTGCCCTACCACCTTGCATGAAGGGTCCAGTCAATGAAGACATAACATTCTAGAGACAGGATTCAGTGAGACTGCTGAGCACATCAGGCAACCAGATACCCTGGGACATGAGATCCTCCAGGATTTAGTCCGACGTATCATTTTGAAGTGGAATTCTTTTACTTTGAGCAGGAAATAGGAAATGGGTGGTGTCTCATTTTAGACAATCTACGTGTCTCACTACTGATTTCACCCAAAGAGAGCTCATTTCTAATACCTGTTATGCTAATTAATGAGCCGTGAACTTCATGGATGCCTTCTATCACTATGGGCAGGGTTCTTGGAGCTAATGGGTAGAGTTGCAGAGATGACCTGCCGGAGGGAGAGCTGCAGTGGTGGGCAGAGCTGTATGTGTGATTATGTCTCTTCTTAGCACCCAGGATCCACAGGTGGAAGCACTCACATTCTGGAAACTGGCAACGGGACCCTCCCATCAACCCCCCACCAACAGAGAGACAGATTTTAAACCCTTACCAGCACACCACTGGATAGCTGGGTGACCTCTGGTTTGTGGCCTATCTGACAAAATGACCATCTCCCCCACATGATGACCTCTGGGCTGATGAGATTCATCCTGGCTGCACTTTAGAAATTACTTGGGACCTTTAAGATAATACCAATTCCAGGTCCCTGTTGGTGGTGATTCTGAACTAGGATATCAGCACACATTTATTTTTTTTAAGAAATTTTACTTATTTATTTATTTGAGAGAGAGAGAGAGAGAGAGGCAGAGACACAGGCAGAGGGAGAAGCAGGCTCCATGCAGGGAGCCCGACGCGGGACCTGATCCCAGGTCTCCAGGATCAGGCCTTGAGCAAAAGGCAGATGCTCAACCACCGGGCTGCCCCATGAATAAATAAATAAAATTAAAAAAAAAACTCACTAGGTGGTCATAAACTGCAGCCAGTGCCATGCTTACACCTGTATGTCACACTGTCTATGCCATACATTTTATTGGTTTCTCAGAAAGTTTCCCAGCAAAACCAGGATTAGCTCTTGTCCTGCTGACCCCTAGCCCAGAGCTCCTGGCAAAAAGAGAGCAAAGTTAAAAATAAGGTGTCCCTTCTTCTGAAGTCTCAGTGTTTGCAAATGTGGCCGGGGGCAATCCACAGTACTCAGGGCCAGGTTAGGGATGGGGAAGGGCAACATAGGAGCTCAGGAGCCCAGGTAAGAGTGTGCTAGTCCCAAAGAGCTCCAGGCTCCGTGCAAGGTGGGCTGTCACAGCCTCCTCCCTCTGGAAGACTTGAAGTAGAAGAGAAGTGCAGCTAGCAAAGGCCAAGGGTAATGAAAAAAAAACCCCAGTGGGGCGAGTCACCCCCAGGGAGAGGGAGGTGGACAGCCCCTCAGGGAGAGCTGATGTAAGGCTAGCTCTGCAGGGCTTGGGGGGAGAAGCTAGTCCCCCACATAAGGGTAAAGAGTTAGCATCCTCCTCCTCAAAGGACAACTTATAACACTGTGTTAAGAGGTCTTGGTAGCCCTTGGCTACTGCTTTCAGGTCATGTGCAGGGATCCCCGGTTCTGTGTCCCTACCTAATGCAAACACCCTTGTAGGATTTGCTCCTTTTGTACCAGGACACTGAATTCCCTATACTTCTCTGCGCAAGGCATTGCCTTCCAATTGTAAGGGCCTCGGGCTGGCTGCCCCAAGATGGGCCACTTTGGCACGAAGATTATTGCAAATTAAAAAGCATCAAAACCCAGTAGATTCAGGAAAAGCTCTTTACCTCCCTCTCAATTGCCTAAAAAGAATTTAAATGGGGAATAACTACAGATAACTACAGTATGACATAAAATAGGTATGTAGGAGCACCTGGGGGGCTCAGTAAAGAGGGTAAAGAGTTGAGTATCCAACTCTTGATTTTGGCTCAGGTCATGATCTCTGGGTCATGAGATCGAGCCACACGCTGGGCTCTGTGCTGGGTGTGCAGCCTGCTTAAGATTCTCTCTCCTTCTCCCTCTGCCCTTCCCCCTCTCTCCAAAAACAATAATAGTAATAAAGTAGGTATGGTCAAAGGAAGGAACCTAGCAAGGCCTGTTCCAGCCAAGTCTTCCACGTCCCATTGTTCCTGAGAGGCCCAGCGAACATTTGTTTATCAAACATTTACTCTTTTTCATCTTCCTGTGAATTGCATTTCTTTGAAGCCCCAGACCCCTGCCACTTTCTCCTTAATTCGGAGCGACACATGTACCTCATTTTGCATGTCTTGGATCTTTCACATCTGTGTGGATTCCTCGTACGTATTCTATTAAATTTGATTTTCTCCTGTTAATCTGCCTCATGTCCATTTGATTCTTACTCTGGCTAGAAGGACCTTGAAGGGGACAGGAGATTCTTGCTCCCCAACACTCTGTACCCCAACCTTTCTTCCTTCTAGGGAAAGCCCTGGGGGCTGGAGCCCGCGTGGTCTCTGTCTTGGTGTTGGGCTCTCTCTGGGAGTGTGTGTATATGGAAGGCTTGGGAGTCCAGGGCAGGGGACTTGGACCAGGGCGCCATTCCTGCAGTCACCACCAGGGACCCCATCCAGCAGTGCCTTGAGCTCCTGACCTCTGGGCCACATATTTAATTACTGAAGGCCACAAACAATTGCCTGACTCCGAGCCCCAGGCTGAGCTCGGCCTGGGTCAGACGTGGGCTCGGTGTGTGGGTGTGTGCCTGTATGTGTGCACGGGAGACAGACTTTGACCGCAGGGAGAGGAAACACTGGGAGAGAAGAGGCCGGGTCAGACCACGGCTGAATGTGTGCAAGGGCCAGGGCCACAGACCTGGCCGGAGGATGGGTAGGGGGAGGGTTTCCCGGAGGAGGAGGCCGGGCTTGGGGTGGGGAGTGGGCACGGTTGGGAACTCAAGCGGCTTCAGAGAAAGGGATTCCCGGAAACTTGTAGGGGAAAGGCTGGTTGGGGGATCTGTGACAAAAGTAAACGCGCAGTCCCAGCTCCGAGGGAGCCTCGCAGCCCCGCCCCGGTTTGCCACACCTGCCTAACTACCTCCGGACCTCCCCCGCTCAGGCGGAGCTGTTTCACCTCCTGGTTCCATTCACGTCTTGCACATTCACTTCCACACCTTGAACACCTGAGCGGTTAATTCCTGCCCTCTTCCTACGGTCTTTCCTCTTGGCAACAGCGGGAAGCACGCACTTGCACGGCCCCCGGGTTAGGCGCCCCCCCAGGTGAGGCCCCCGGGTTAGCCCCACCCCCAGGTGAGGCCCCCGGCTTAGGCCCCCCCGAGGTTAGGCCCCCAGGTGAGGCCCCCGGGTGAGGCCCGCCGGCTCTCCCGCCGCGCGCCCTCCGCGCACTCTCCCACGCCCCTCCGCGCCCTCCGAGCGGCGCCGGGTCTCGTTTGCATAACCCTCGCCCCCTCCCCTCCCCTCCCCTCCCCTCCCTGGGCCTCCGGCGGGTCCCGGGCCGCGCCCCGCCCCCTGCCCGCCCCCTCGAGGGGCTGGGCCGCGGCCTCGCGCCCATTGGCCGCCGAGCCGGCTGGTCCCGGCCGGGGCTGTGATTGCGGCCAGCCCATGTCAGTCCCCGAGCGGGCGCGGGCGGCGGGGGCGCGCGGCCCGGCTGGCGGCCGCAGGTGGGGCTGCTCGCGGCGAGGGACGCAGCCCGGGCCCCGCGGCCCCGCGGAGAGAGCCCAGGATGCCGCGCGGGGACTCGGAGCAGGTGCGCTACTGCGCGCGCCTCTCCTACCTCTGGCTCAAGTTCTCGCTGATCATCTACTCCACGGTGTTCTGGGTGAGTGACCCCGGGGGGGACCCTGACCTGGCGGGGGTGCCGGCACTCCCCGGACCGCCCGCACGCCGACCCGGGCCTGGGTCCGCGGTTGGCTGCTCCAGGGAGGGCGCGGGGACTGCACGCCCGGTTCCTCGTCCCCCTCTCCCCGGGAAGCAGGAGACCCCGGCGCTCCGGCTCAGCCCGAATCTCAGCAGCCGACGGGTCCGGAGCGGCAGAGCCGTGGATTAAGCCGAAGGAGCGCTCCGTGGCTCACCTGCGCGCACCTGCTCGGAGCGCTGGGTCTCCGCGTCTGCTGCACTCCGGCTGGAGCGCTAGCGGCGGTTACGCGTTGCCCGCGCCCACCCGCCCGCGGGGGTTGCAGAGTTTGCCTCCCCATCAGCCGGTGGAGAAGACGTGGTCGGGCTTTGTGGGCAGGATTGGGCGGGGAAACCTGGACTCTTGGTCCTGTCCCCACTGGCTACTTGCGGACGTCCCGGAGCCAGAGGCTTCCCTACCATGCTTCGGTTTCCTCTTGGGTAGAAGGAGGATGGGCTTGCCTTGTCCGCGGAGGAGTCTGGAGGATTCCACTGCCTCACCCCTGGGGTGGCCTCCGGCAGCACCTGCAGGTCGGGTAAATTCCCGCAGCCGCTGGGCTTTACCTCCTCTTGTGTAGTGCTGGGCGGCAGGGTGGCAGTGGTGGGCCGAGACCCGGGCTTCGAATCCTGCCGCTACCACTTTCTGGCTCAGTGATCTTGGGGAAGTTACTTAAAGTCTCTAGGCCGTCATTTCTTCGTCTGCAAATAGAGACAGTAATTATATTCAACTTTAAGGACGGGCGTGGAGATTGAATGAGGTAGGCCAAGTACAGTGCTCAGCACCGCGACCGCGACCGGTGAAGAGCTCAAGAGGTGTGAGCCATTACTATTATTTTTGTGGACTGGGAAGCTGGGCCCTCCCGGTAGGCTCAGAGAGAGACTGATTTCTTTATGAAGATTTTGGGTGAGGCTGGACCCCCCACCTAGAAATGAGGACATCTTTCTATAGGCCAGCTCCAGCCTTGCAGCTCTAGAAGAGTCCCCTGCTCCCCAGTAGCCACAGGGCAGAGTTGCCCTGGGACTGTGGGGGGGGGGGGATGATCCCTGGCTCCCAACCCTCCCCAAACATACGCTCACTGTATTCTCTTCAGACCCTCAAGCGGTTCTATTCTATTAGCAGGAACAGCTTGATCTGCCTGGTGACAGGTCTGATTTCCCATTTGACTGCTCTATGGATCTGCCCTTGCCTGGTGGTCTAGAGGTCCAGATTCTAGTCTCGTTCTGTTATTGACTCACTCAGAGACCTTAGGCAAGTCACTTCCTCATTTGGGACCTCAGAGCTGTTAAATGACTTGGCTCTCTAGAGAGAAGGAGGCTAAACCCAGTTCCCAGTCCAGTTCTCTGATTTTAGGTAATGTGGGAGAGAGATGGGCAGCACATTTGGGGGCCAGAGGATGAAGTAGAGGTTGGTGGAAGCCTCAGGGAGGCAGAAGGTTGTATGTGGGATTGGGGTGGGGGTGATTTGCTCCCAAAGTTGTTTTAGCATCAACCAGAGACTTTAAAAAAAAAACACTACAGATGCCTGGGCCCTGGCACAGAGATTTATTTAAACTCCTCAGGTGGTTCTAGTTTGTTGTCAGGGTTGTAAACTGCTGGGCTTGTTGGTCTCACAGGCCCCTTGGTTCTGATTCTGGGATTCTTTGCCTGCCCCTTACTTGTCTGGCTGCAGGAGCTCTTCTCTCTGGAGGTCAGAGTTGAAAGAGGGGAGGCTAAGGTTGTTGTTGGTGGTGGGGGGGGGTGCGGGTAGGTAAGGAGAAAATGGAAGACCAGGAGTCAGAAGGTGGGGCCTATGTTTCTGGCTTTACCCCTTCTCTCCATGTGTATCACTGACCAGCATCTTAACCTCCTTGTACCTCCATTTTCCTATCTGTGAAATGGGTAACTGATACCCTGCCCCACACTTCCCTGGATTGGTTTGAGGATTAGTGATATGGGGAGATAGTGACATGTGGGTTACAGCTGAACTCAGAATTGTCAAAGCCTTGTTCTGTCGCTGTCCCCTATAGCCTGGGAACAAGACCACTCAATGGCCCTTGCTTTGCTTCTCTTGGGGCAGAGTGGGACTCAGAACTTGGAATCTTTCCTCTCCAGCCAACTGAGATTGCCTTCCCAAATCCTTGACTTCCCATCCCTGGAAGTATTTCTGCTTAAAAACCTCCCTACCCATGCCAAGGACTCAGCCACCTGCCAACCCTCCCAGGGCAGCTCTAGGTGCCAGATTTCCCTGCAGGGTGGAGGCCCAGCATGAGTAAGTAATTTGTTCTAGACTGGCTTTGCTGCTAATTGGAAACCCATTATAGGAAGGCCCATTATCTCTGCTACCATCCCTTGGGGTGAGGAGTGGGGCCAAGGGTTACTTGCTTTATAAGCCCAAAGTACTAACACCATCGTCTCAGACTTAGGTCTGGAAAGGACTGTAAGTTTTACCCTAGCCACACACCTTTTGGAAGACTTTCTGCTTTAAATCTTATTATCAAATATGAAATGCAAGGACACTGTACAAAATTTTAAAGTACCAAAGTGAAGTCCTCAGTGACAAGCCTCCCCCTGCCCCTCTCCCCTGGCCTGCCCTGTCCAGAGGGGACATCTATGATCAGTTTCTTATTCTTCACTTCTGAGGTAACATCCCAGCCATAGCATGCCCTAGGTGAACGTGTACCTGCATTATATATTCTGTTTTTCTCCCATATAAAGTAGCACAGTATACATAGTCCTACCCATACCTTTTCACTGAAATGTAAGTCCATGTGAATTTTGGAGCTCTGGTAGTGGCCGCCTCGTTTTGTCTGGTGGCTACATAGAACTCACTGGAGGCGGGATCCCTGGGTGGCGCAGTGGTTTAGCGCCTGCCTTTGGCCCAGGGCGCGATCCTGGAGACCCGGGATCGAATCCCACGTTGGGCTCCAGGTGCATGGGGCCTGCTTCTCTATGTCTCTGCCCCTCTCTCTCTCTCTCTCTCTCTCTCTCTCTCTCTCATGTGACTATCATAAATAAATAAATAAATAATAAAAAAAAAAAAGAACTCACTGGAGGCTATGCCCAAACTCATTCAATCCGTCCCCACCTGGGGAACTTGGGTTGTTTCCGATCTTTGGTTACTGTAAGCAGCAGTGCAGTGAGCAGTTTTGAACCTGTCATTTTGCACATGCATGTGTATATCTGCAGGGAGATTTCTAGAAAGAGAACTGGTGGGTTTACAGGATACATGAATGTGTAATAGACATACAGAAATGCACTGGGCGTAAGTGTATATGGCCTGATGGATTTTTACAAAGTGAACACACATGAGTGATCAGCCCCCAGGTCAACCACTAGAACAGAGAGAACAGAAGCCAGAAGCCTCCCTTGTGCCCACTTCCGGTCATCACCCCCTCCCTCCAGTGGTAATCACAGTCAGGGTGTCTCATAACGCAGAAGCATTTTGCCTGGTTTTGTACGTGCTTTTAAAATTTTGGTGTTTGTTAAATTATAGAGTTTATACCAGTTATGGTATTATTTACTGTATTACTTTAAACTGACTCACTTTTTAATCTGAAATTATTATTTTTAAAAAAGATTTATTTATTTATTTATTCATGAGAGACACAGAGGCAGAGACACAGGCAGAGGGAGAAGCAGGCTCCATGCAGGGAGCCCGACATGGGACTCGATCCCTGTTTTCCAGGATCACACCCTGGGCCAAAGGTGGCACTAAACCGCTGAGCCACCTGGGCTGCCCTTAAATTATTTTTTTAAAAGGAGGCTTTATGTATACGCCACTGCCAATGGGAAACCAATACGCATGATGCTAAATCGTGCAGGGAAAACAAAACGTCATTAAATCCTAGCTAGATACTGTGGGTGATGTAGGCTGTGTTCTGTGTTCAAAAGGCAGCCTGGCAAGTGTTTGAGGGGCTGAATGACAAACTGGCACCCACACAGATTTGCTGCTGCATGCAACGGGAAGGATGGCAAGGGAAATGAGCAATGAAGCCTTTGCTCAGTCTGTGAGTCAATATAAATATGACTTGAACCACTCACAAGATCTCCTCCTGTCCTACACCGGGCGGTGGGGGGTGCCTCTCGTTTTCAGAGGGGGCCTCGGGGCTCAGGGTGTGTTTCAGGGCCGCTTAGTAAGGCTGGCCTGAGCCCCTACATCTCATGCCCAGTTCAGTGCTCCTTCCGGTAGATTTTGGAGGATGTGTCCATGAGGAATGAGCTCACTCAGAGGCACTTGGAGCCTCCTCTTCCCACCATGCAGCGTGAATCATTCTGACATATGTGCCCTCAGCCCACTAGGGACACACCTCTAATTTTAGCACTGACCACAGGGTATCCTAGAGATCTGTTTACTTAACTGTTTTTCCTTGCTGGACTATGGACTCCCGGAGGTCAGGGGTGTAGCTCGTTCATATCCTCTTCCAAATGCTGGTTTTGGGGCTGGGCACACAGTAAGTGCTTGGGGAAAGCTCATTGCATTGGTGTGCTCAAGCCCCAACCTATGTCTTGTAAGCAAGGATCTGAGGTGGGGGCACCTGGATCAGGGGTTGGTGTGTAAACAGTGGTCAGATTTGCTGAGACCTTGAATTTGCAGGGTGGCCTGGGCTGATGGTAGAGTCACCGGCCCTCTAGAAAGCACTGACCCTCTAGAAAGCATCAGCCTGCTGCTTTGACAATGGAGTAATTTCCAGTCGGGTACAAGAGGGTGTCAGGGCTGGGGGATGTTGACCAATCAGGAAAAAAAGGACTTGGTGGGAAGGAAATGGGAATGGGTAGGTGGGGGAGGTAATAATAGTACCAGAGGCAGTATTAACTCTTCCTTGCCTTCTCTATGGATGACCCCCCCCCCCCCGCCATCATAGCATGGCCTGTGATTCTTTATATTTTCCTATAATGTAATGTCTAAGAGTGTGGGCCCTATACTAGGCTGCATGGGTTCAAATCCCA